AAAAAAAAAAAAAAAGTAAGGCTTTCGTGCTCTGGTTGATTATTTTGTAAACGTAAAAAGAGAAATTAATATCTCCCAATGAGTTTTATACATTTTGTGTTGCTTTACTTTTCGCTTATTTTCACATTTTGTGTATTTGAACATGAATAAATTGATCGATCAATTCAAAAGACGTGATCCGTGCTGTTACAAAAAGCCTGAACATTTTTTTTGAAATTTGTTACAGAGTGTTATTACGTTTCTTATAGTTTTGGTGGTTGTTTGAGTTTTATTCATAACCGCATATTGCATTTATTGGACGAAAAATGTACTTCTGTTTTGATTATACCTTAGATCAATTTCTTCAACTTGAAATACGAAGGTAAGACGAAACTGTGTTAATAATAGAACTTGAACTGTTTCTACATTTATTTGATAACATTCTTAATATCGGCATTAATTTGTAGAGGTGATTAAAATATATGAAAAGTAATAATAAACAAATTTATAAGAAGCACCTTTTGGCTTCAAACCACATAAAATGACGATAAATAGCCATAGAAATAGTACTTTCCGATCAAACTTTCTACCAAATAATCATACCTAAACTTAAAATGTTTTCTCTATTTAAAAATGTGCGAAATAATAACACTTTTTAGATTCAAAACTATACTAACTAATAACATATATAAGTATACAAAGAACACCTTACAATTAAAACTTATATAAAAAACTGTATAAACCTACAAACAATATCTTTCCTATTAAAATATAAAGATAAATAATGACATATAAACCTATCACCACCTCTTTTTTCCGATCAAAACATTTTTTTCTTCAAATGTTTTAAGTTGCTAGCTTAGCTTTCCATAATCTCGAAATTTGTTTGATTATAAATGTCACTTCTTTACATGATTTATTAAATTAAGTATATTGTTGCCCATTCATAAGTTCCAAGGTACATTCTGAGATTTAAGAAACGGTTACACTGAATATGATGCCATATTCTTTGTCATACCCTTATTATGTTAGATCTGTATCATTTCCAACAAATAGGAACATTTCAAGTCTATACACACAGTAAAAGAGTTTGGAACTAAAGGCATTTTTGCTGCTGACTTGTTGGCAATTTCTGAAATATGTGGAAATGTGAAAAAATAAATGTAGTTTCCTATTGTTGTTTTTTTTTGTGCTTTTTCAGATTTCGTTTTATTTTTAAAATTGCCTTTACACTCTGCAAGTTTTTCAAAAAAATACTAGTATTACACTTTCTAACTCTGATGCTACTCGCTGTTCTTTTGTGAGCACTGTACAAAAGGTTTATATAATAATTGTTCCTTTTATTAGTTTTATTTACTAATCTATTACAACTACATGAACTGAAATTCGTAGTTAACAAAACAAGAGCCTAAAAAAATACATCTATTAGAAATGGATACTGTTACGTCTCCGTTTGTTAATTGATTTCCCGTAAATTCGTTCCGACGAAACTTTAGCGACACAAGTCCTTACTTAATAAAACTGGTTTATTCTTCCTGAATATAACTTCACGATACACTTGATTTCAACAATCACGCTAAAACAAACCCTATAACGAACGTTAACTTCAACGATACTTTC